TAATACTAATTATTTTAGTAATAGATATATTGATCTTTTATAAAGATAAGCTAAATCACTTACTTTTTATAAAAAAAACAAAATTTTTTTTAAAGCTAAATAGAGGTTAATAAAAGTATATAAGGTTCTTTTTGTAAATTTTATAGTTGTATAGTCTATTCTTTGGTTTTTACTTAATATTTTTGATTAGAGACTCTTGCTCTAAGAATAAATCTTCTGGTTTAGATACCAAATATACAAAAGAGTCTGTTCAGAAAAAAAAACTTGATACAAGGCACAAACTTGTCTAATATTCTTATAGTGCCTAACAAAAGTTTCTTGCATTTGTAATTTCTGAAAGTTTATATATAAAAACATAAAATTTCATACAGGTGCAGTATATTATATATATATATTGTATTAAACTTCTTCAGGCAGTATATATAGCAGAAATACTTACACTGCTTATATATTAATTTTTATTCAAATAATATCTTTTTTTTTGTATAAGTGATATAAAATCATCTTTTTAACTACTACTTGAAGGGTCTCAAGCTTTTATTTTATAAAACAGCAAAACAGATTTATTATAATAAAAAACAATGCAAGAATAGACAAAAAGGTGATAAGAAAATAAAGATCTAAGTAATAAACCAAAGCCAAGTCATCAAAGGGTCATCACCCAAAGACAAAACAACCAGATTTTGAAGCTAGCAAAAGAGAATATAGATATTTTAGTATCAAAAATCTGCTATGAGTTTCTAAAACAGAATATAGATATTCACGTATATATTATTAACAGTATTTTGGTAAAGGTGGGGCTTATTATTACAGAAAACTCACAAAGTCTTTACTCAGAGAAAAGTATCAAAAAAATAGCTTTTGTAAATAAAGAAATATAAAGATTTTGACTAGAATTCTGCAATATTTACTAACAAAAGTATCTTTTGTTTGAATCAATAGTTAAAAAAGACTTGGCAGTTTATCAGAACAAGAAAATAATCTATTCTGTCAAGCATTTGTTAAAAGTTTACATATGGGATATTTTTCTTTTTCTGGCTTTAGAAGGTTGATCTATTTTATATGAAACCTTAATATACAATATATAATCATTCTGTACAAAATGGCTCTTCTACCTTTTGTTATGAACCTTTTTGGTAAAGATTATAATAGTTAGATTTTGCAGAAAGACAATAACCCAAAGCATTATTCGAAAATTGCGAAAGCATAGAAGAAGTAAAATAAAATCAAAGTTTTTCTTTGGCCATCAATATTATTTAACCAAAACCTGATTGAGAATATTTAAAGACTTATAAAAATAAACCTGACAAAAAAAAATTAGAAAATTAGTATTCTGAAAGCACAAATAACAAAAGAATAAAATTAATTATCAAAAGAATATGTAGCTAATTTGGTAAGAAGTATGAGATATTGTGTGGAGACTCTAATTAAAGCCGAGAGTGATTATACTATGCATTGATTTTTATATAATATCACATGTTTTCAAATAAAAAAAAATTTTTCTACTATATCTCTGTGCTGAGTTATGAATGCAGAGAAACTTTTGTCGAGTATTGTATATATCTACTTCTTGATATTTTATATATTGTAAATTTTATTAGCAACAAGTTTGTTTATACAAAGTTAAGAGTATTGTTGTATTTATATTGTTATTTTTTATATTGCTAACTATAGTTTGATAAAATTATTGTTGATCAAAAGATTATCAAAAAGAATTATAAATATTATAAAAGATTAATATATTATTAGTATTTTTTTTTTGTTTTACTTAGATAGGTTGTGCTAGTATTTTTTATTTAATTAAGTACTACTTGTAAGAGTACAAAATATTAAAACTAGGATCTGATAGAAGAGTATATAAAAAAAAACAAATAAAAGAAATAAAAAGAATAAGAAGAAAATGAGATAAATATAAGATTTTTTACCTATATCAGACAGTCACAATTATAAGCCTGTATCAGATTTTATAAAAATTATATAATACTATCTAAACTATTTTCTACACTAATTTATATTATTACTATATTTAAGCAAAAACCCTTAATAAGAAAAAAATTATTATCTTTGATATTAGCATCATAAAGAGATCAGAAATTCACACTATTAGGCTCTAAGCATTGTTTGTCTGGGTTGCTACGTTCAAGGCATATAATCTAAATATCTACTTTCATATATATTATATGTTTATTGTAACAGATAAAAAAGTTAACAATACTATCTGATTTGGTAAATAAACAATATATTGATTGATTTTTTGAAGAGGGTAAGTTAAATCATCTACTTTTTTACAAAATTTTCTTTAAAAAAAAAGTAGAAGGCCAGTAAAAATATATAAGATTCTTTTGTAAATTTTATAGTTATATAGTTGATTCTTCAAGATTATACTATTTTAGTGAGAGTCTTTCTCTTAGAATAAACTTTTTAGTTTGAATACTGAATATTTTAGAGAGTTTACCTATTAGCAAAAGTTTGATCCAAAAAAAACTATCTAAATTATATCTACTTTTTAGTATTTTATATCTTTCAAGCTTTATTGATAGCAACCTGTTTAAAGATAAGTTCAATTCCTAGAATAAATTTTTTTGATTTGGATATTAAATATCTTGAGAGATTTACTAAAAGAAGAAGCTTAACTCTAAGAAAAACCACCCAAGTTATATCTACTTTTTAGTATTTTATATCTTTAAACTTCATTGACAACTGTTTATTTAAAGACAGAACTAAAATAGTATATATTTTAAAACTTTTTATAGTATTTTTCTGTAATTTAATTTTTTTATTGTATTGTCTAAAGGATTGTTAAGAGTTTTTTTTGATCTTAAAAATTTTTTATTAATAATTTACAATTATTTAAATATATATTATTAGAGTATTAGTAAATTAATAATTTTAAAATATTTTTATATTTAATAGGCAATCTATGAGATATCTGGACAAAAATTTTTTTTATATATAAATTTTACTAAAAGCTCGAAAGTGCAGTTAGAGCTTACTAATTCTTTATTCGAATAATATTTGAATAATTTAGATCAGCAAACTTCTATTTGAATATTCAACAAATGAATAATATTTGTCAAACAATTCAAATCTTCAAATAATTACAGTTATTTGAATAACTGAAATTATTTGAATAATTATAATTATTCGAATAATTTTTGTTATTCGATAATTATAATTATTCAAATAATTTTAGTTATTCGAATAATTTTAGTTAGTCGAATAACTATAATTATTCTAATTGATATTTGAATTATTCAGATCAAGACTGATATAGTGTTCATATGATTATATGTAAACTTTATATATGCTAGTGCTTCTATATATTTAAATATATTCAAATAATTCATAATTATTCAAATAAATATGAATTATTTGAATGATAATTCTTTACAAATTATTCGAATAATAATTCTTATTCGAATAAATATAATTTATTTGAATAAATATAAATTATTCAAATAATTTATCGAATAATTTTTAGATAATTATATTTGAATATTCACTGAATATAAATATTATTCGAATAATGAATATAAATATTATTCGAATAAGAATATAAATATTATTCGAATAATGAATATGAATCTAAAGCTCTAAGTGTAGTGCTTTTATTTAAAACTTTTTTACTAAGTAAATTACTTTTGGGCTTCTAACAAAAGTTGTAAAGCTTATCAAGATGTATCTAATAATAGTAAAAACATTAAAATTAATTTAGTAGTTCTTAAAAAATCTTTAAAAAACTTCTTTTCTATATATAAAATTTCTTTAAAAAAATCAATTTTTTTTAAAAAAATTTTATATATAGAAAAAAGATTTTAAAGATTTTTCAAGAACTACCAGACCAATTTTAATATTTTTACTATTATTAAATATATCTTGATGAGCTCTACAACTTTGTTGGAAGCCCAAGAGTGATTTACTTAATAAAAAAGTTTTAGACAGGAGTATTACACTTTCAAACTTATAGTAAAATTTATATATAAAAAAATTTTTGTCCAGGTATCTCATGGATTGTCTATTAATTAATAAAATTTAGTGGGAATAACATAATTATGTTATTCCCACTTAGTCTAGGTTATTTCTACTCAGATATGATGACAGAAATGTATTACCATCATCAGTGTTGTGACGACAGAAATGCGTCACCATCATCAGAGATATATTAGTATTCGCTCCATCATTCGAATGATGATTGATTCGCGCTTGCGTCATCAGAGATATATTAGTATTCGCTCTATCATTCGAGTGACGAATGATTCACGCTTGCGTCATCATTTGAGTGATGATTGGTTCACGAGTTCGTCATCACACTTAGGTATCCATGATCTATAAAAAATATGATGACGAATTTGTGTTCACATCATCACACTTAGATACCTCATGATCTATAAAAAATATAACGATAATTTTATATTCACGTCATCACACTTGGTCACTTTGATGGGTGATAGCTTGTATACTCAGTTATGCTATCAAAATGTAATCATTCATGTTCATTACCCTAGAATGCGTTTAAAATAGATCTAATCGCATCCAAGAAAAAAATTCGTCCAGGTTTCATCTAGGTAAAAATTTGTTAACTTGGACGGATAATGTTATGGAAGAAAAAGGTTAGATTTTGTTTTAACTTGTTTTTCTATACTTGTTCTATTTTCGTCTAAGATGTCTAGGTAAAAAATAGAATTCTAGGAAAAATATCAAACTCTTTCCTATGGTATATATTATATATAGATATATATGACATATACTATATACATATCTTTGGTACATATATGCTATATATATATCTATGCATATGTTCTATACACATAGATAAAAAATATAAAAGTAAAAAGATCGAAAATTTACCTAGACAACCTGGACAACCTGGACGACTAGTCTAAAACCTTTTCTTTCGACGAAAAAATATTATCTAGCTATCTTTTTTCGTCCAAGAAATTCATTCAAGAAAAAATTCGTCCAAGAAAAAGTGGACGCGACCCCCAACATACACCTTCATACTATGTATTTTTTTCTGCCACCTTCTCCAGCTTTTTCCAATGCCTATACTCTCTTCTACGATGTTTCTGCGCATGAGTATCACAATAACCATAACCAGAATTAGTTAACTTAACACAACCATATTCTTTGCAAGGATAACGAATAGGTG